TGCAAACATTGCAAGACATTTTTTTATTCAGCAATTGTAGATAAGTGAAACTGCGCTCGATTGTAATCATTTATTTCCAGCCACAATGCAAGGGGCTGTGAAAAGTATATTTTATCCATATTTTTAATCCAATATCTTTTATAAATTATAAATAATTGACGAAAATGTTTTGAGATTTCTGAGTGTAAAGTTCTCTTTTTGGTTTTGTTTTTTTTTTTTTTCTTAATATTTTACATTTTCATTACTTGAGGGTGTACATGGTGGACGGCCCACGTAAATATTTGACATAGGACATTTAAGACTAGGTCTACCATAACAAATTTTAGAGCTTTATCTTAATTGCACGGTATTGCTGCGCCTGCGGATGTCCCGGAACAAGTGAAGGACCGACCGAATCTTATTTTAATAGGATTTCTCTTGCTTAGTATTGCGCCTTTTTAAACGGAACGGAAAATTAAATATAACGCCATTCTTTGGTAGTGGGCATAATATAAAATAAAATAAGGAAAACAAGGAAAGTGTGAGATAAATGGAATTCTTTAGAAGAAACACAAATAACATTAAATTTCGATAAAACTTTTATTTAAAACAATTAATCGAAATATTTATCTGAATTTTTTTAATCTTTTTTTACACCGTAGTTTTCATTTGATATGAGATATGGAAACGTTTATTTAATCCTGCGAATATTGAATTTCTACGAACTTGTGATATGTGTAAAAAAAATCCAAGCAAAATAATAATATATGAATGGACTTATGGCTTATGAAATGGCTTAGCTGTGATGCGATAGTGATCTGCTCCCAACAGCAAACAAAAAATTTATGATATATTTCCGTTCTTTTGAATAAACTTTTGAAATGTTAATACAGATTTCAATAGATGCATAAAACGCAACTGACACGTCAAAGATTGAAATTGTTCGGTATACCACCAGTTGTGATACGAGCGTATATTAAGTTCCTGTGGATGCATATGGATTTATTAATTCGATCCATTCAGAGTCACTTTCTGAAACGATCTAAGCTTGTCTGTCCTCCTTTTTCCCTTGATTTGTATCCGTGTGTTTAGCTTACAGGTTGAAGCTTTTGAAATATTTTGATGAGATTTATAACACCGATGTGTCTTTTTCTTTTTGCTATATGAGCAGACAGTCAGGGCATGTCTCCTATGGGCGACGCATGCACGACGCTGGTCTGCAAGGTTTATAGATTTTGGACAAAAGACAAACGCTCTTGACAATGGTTCGCATCTCACTACTTTTTCGCTCCCTTCTTATACCGAAAGCCTTATTTTAAAAAATCGTTATTTGAATAAGTGTATGAGGCGAAGTGATACAGATTATACAGTGCTTGGTTTGGCCGAATATTTTAGGTAACTGCGCCAACAAAAAATCATATTTATGCATGTTTAGTAACTATGGACGAACCCTTGTTCTGATTTTCATAAACTAAATTTTATTAAAAATAAAAAATGATGAAGTTTTTAGAAATCGTCGATGTGACAAACGACGGCAAACAACGAAGTCTAAAGACGGCAATTAAAAAACAATTTGAGATGTATTTGTGATCTCCTACTTCTTCTGTGAGTCAGCATATCAGCAGCAGGTGACTCTCTGAGTCACCTGAATAAAAGGGCTGTGTTTGTGATCTCTTGAAGGCAAAGCATTGAAACTGTCATCATATAATTATAAGGGGGGAACATACACGAAAGTTGGCAAGGCAAACAGATAGAAATGGTCTTCAAGCCTTTCCAAAGCACATTTCTCGGCCGTACAAATGATGGGAAACTTCAATATAACCCTTGTGGAGATTATGAAAGGCCATTAAGAAATGCCGAAGGAAATGTATAAGAGATTAGTGATACATTCTAAAAACGGTTACGCAAACAACTGTTAACAGACAAGTAATGCAAAAATGAAGAAAAGAAAGGAAAGTAATAATAATTTTTGCTAACCTTTTCATTGGTTTACATCGATGCGATTGTTTAAGGGTGATACCGACCAATTCGTATGTACAAAATGCGGTGAAATTACTCATTAAAAAAAGGTTAAAGAATTCGATATGCTTGTGAAACGCTTACCCGGATCAGTATATATCACGCATTCGATAAAAGAAATTTACATGACTTTAAAACAACACTCAATAAATCTCCGGTCTGAGACATATTTGGCCACACTGTACACCGACGCAAAGACGATTTCTGAGTAGTCAAATGAAATGCGTCAAACTTTCATGACATCCCAGCTACTGTGATATGAATATGAAAGAAACTCCTCAACAATTTTCTTAGAGATGGGTTGAAGAGTTGAGATGATTTCCGTTTCCACTTTTTTCTCAAAAATATTTTTACACAATAGACGACAAATAGCTTACGATTAGTCCCTAGATTATGTAAAATTAATTTCTATGCAATTTATCCATTTATTAGTATGTATAAGTGTAGCTCTTGTCTTTCTTTTTTTTTTTTTTTATTACTTTTTAGCTTTTGTTTCTTTTTTTTTTGCGTTTGGAACTTGCTTCACATCTTGTAAAGTTTTATTTATTTGTTTTTTTTTTTCCGTTTTTCTATTTTGTTCTCTTCTCCTGTTTTCTTTAAATTGAAAGATAAATGATTCCCTTAGTAAAATTGTTTCATTTAATATTTAATAGCGGCAAAATTTTATTTTCTTTAGTATCTTTTTTTTTTTTGTTTTTCTTTGCTAGTGATTGTTTTAATAAGCTTCTCAGTTTTTCCTTTCTTGTTTTTTTTTTTTTTTCTCTTTTAATATTATTAAGTATTAATAACAAAAGACAAAAAAAAGGAAAAAAATTAAAAGATTTTCATTAGTCACACTGTGTCTGGATATGTTTATAAAAAATATACGAAAGTTATGTAATTTCCATAGCTCGGAGTTATTTATTATATATTTTGGAAGAATGTATAGACTGAGATATGTGTTTGGGTATGCGTAGATGTGAGTAGTGTGTATAAAATGTTATATACATAAATATTTTTATATAATTGCAATAAAAATAAAGCATTAACGAAGACCATTAATTAGGTGGAGACGTTTTATTTCTGGTTGAATAGAAAAACATATTGTACTGAGTCTTAATCGGTTTGATTTTAAAATAAGTAAATACACGTTTTATTATTATTATGATTATATCCACCACCAATGTCACTTTACAATACATAATTTATTTCTATATATATATATATATAAGAACATAAATAAGAACATATTACTATCTTTATCTGAATGAAAAGCTTGAAAAAATCTTTTGTACATAACTTGCCAAAGAGAGATATCGCGACATTGTGCTTGTAATCTATCGTCTTTATTTCCGCCTTTCCTTTCTAAAAGTATGCAATATATTCATAAATGATTCGATATTGATTATGATTTATTAAGAGATAAATATAATTTCCTTCCATTTTCGAATAAAAATTATTGCAGGTTTAAAGAATCATATACATATACGAGACCCAGCCAAAGCATTTTTGCTCTCGAACAGAGATGACCTTGAGCAAGAAGTTCTCAGCCTTACTCAGATATCAAGTTGGTTATCAATGGCAATAATAAAAATGTCGAATCCGTGAATTTTCAAAATCAGGGATTTTACAGATCAAGTTGATCCTAAACAGAACTTCAATCTTTCATTACCTTTTCGGATAAGCTTTTTGGAAAATGTCCTTCTTTCATGTTTAGCAGCCAAAGGTTTCCGTCATTACCCGGAGCTGATAGAGCTGATCGACATCAATGACACTTGATTGTAATTTTTTTGAGTACGACTAATTACCCAGGCTATGTCCCTCCTCTATTCGAGTAACACGTCGCCTCTCAGAAAGCGGAGGGAAAAGAGAAAGAAATAGGGAAGAAATGGCTGCAGCTTTGTGGCTGTATGTCTACTCGACAAAAGTCATGCTTTCACCGACTGAGCACTCATCATAGGTGCGTTCAAAGTAAACTCTACTGCAATTAGATCTGAACCCGCGAACATTGGCTTGGTAGTCGCGGTTCTGACCTACTCGAGCTACTCAAGCGAAGGAAGATATGTTATATATGGATGATTATCTTCCACATCGTTCAAGATCGTAATCAACAGATGGAATCATCTCACTAGAAAAAGTTTAAAACAAAAGTCTATAGCCTTTAAAATAAAACTGGGGAAGGAAAGAAGTGAAAGATATTCAAACCACTAACCAAAAATGGTCCTCATCAACTTTTAAGAAATACGTGTTATGCTAAACCTTGCAAATTATTTAAGATCGTAATTAATAGATGGAAAGTTCTCACCAAGTAGACTCTAAAGAAGATAATTATGGGAAAAAAAGAAACAAGTTTCTACACTACTTAGCTCTGCATTTCTAAATCGCAAACCCTTTAATGCGATTATGGCCTTTTTCACAAAATCACAGCATTGTGGAATTAAAGCAGTTTACTTAGCTAAAACCTTTACACTCGCGATTTTTTTTTGTAATTTCATTTTAACTGAAATGAAACCCATCAAATTCGTCTTTAAAAAGAGGATGTAAAGAAATAAATCACGTGTCTAACGAAGGTGGTGGATGTCCACAGATTTGTAATCAAGTTTTCTTTCTTTTAATATATACGTTTCCCGTGGGAAAGACATGATCTCTCTAATCTCTTAAATGATTATTGATTGAATCTTAAGTCAATAAATTTTATTAATTTATTTTCACAAAATATTTTTTTTAATTTCACCTTTGGTTGGCCAAAAAAAAAAAGGGGAGAGAAGAGGATTCAAAGCATAAGAAAAATAAAATCCTCTTTTCTCTCAAGTTGTTTTTGTAAAATTTTCGTTAATATATTAAGCCAGGTTCGTTTTATTCGAGTTTTTCTCGTTTTGATTTTTCTTTTCTTTTTTTTTTTTTTTTTTGAAATTTTTTTAATTTATTAAAAAGTTTTTAACCAAATTTTTGTTTTGTTTTTTTTTTTTCTTATATATATATATATACATATGTATGTACGTAATACAATACATATATATGCATATATATATATACACATTTCTTCATTTTTTTTTTGGTTGGTTACTTTCTAAATTTCTAAAAGGATTTTTAATTTCCTATTCCTACATACCCAAATTCACACACTCACATGCACGTACATTAACACTACTTAAATCAACTTTTCAACCCTTGTTGTCCTTATATTAGAATTTCTTTTTCTTTTTTTTTTTTTTGTTTATTTTTCCAAATATTCACTAATTGTTTGTTACATTACATTTTCAAGGTACTCATTGGCTTGATGTTTGTAAAGTTATACTTAAGAAAAGAAAAAGTAAATAAAAAAAAAAAAAAAAAGGAAAATTAAAGTAATTTCCTTTCCCCAGCTTCATTGATTGCTACCAAAATAATAATAAATAAAACAAAATGAACAGAAAACAATGAAACATTGTCTTTACCTACATACATGTTCGGTGGATATACAAAGGCGTGGTTGCTTAACCCACCATTTCCCTTGGGCCTATTTCAATGAATAAATTCCCCGTTGCGGTACAGAACTTTAATAAACACAGTGTAGCCACGAGACAAGTAGCATATTCGTTAGCGTTAGAACGCAGCCGAAATCTCGTGCATTGATGCTTGTTGTCGCTGATGAGGGTGTTATGCCATTACCCAAGGCAGCCATACCTATGCTGGGTGTTGTTGAAGACGTTGTTGTTGATGTTTCCTTTTCCGGTCGACCAACTTCCACTGCAAAATATAGATTAAGGCATAGAAACGCGACTAAAGCAGATATTGGAAAACTTATTACACACGCACACGCACACACATACACACACACACACACACACACACACAAATCGATGACAAACATTTCTATGCTTTCTTTAACTTATAACTTGCTTCAGAGCTTCGATTTAACTTGATTTGTAATTTTTTTTTTTTTTTTTTTTTAAATATGTGAACCTCCGTCAACGGAGTAAACTAGAAATAGGGTGATCACCCTATCAGCTTTGTAGCGTTTGCTGCTGGCGGCAACACGAAATTACTGTTCCGTCTAGCAGATAATTGACTAAAGCAAATGCGCTTTGTTCGATCAACACGCCACCTGTTAAAGCCCTTATTTACTTTTGCATAACCAGCCAGAATCGCCACGAAATTAAAGTATCTAAGGCTCTGCTCCGTTCCAAATTCCCTTTGCGTTAAGTAGTCTTAGGCGATCCATTCTTCCAAGTGATATAACAATTATCCGGAAATTTTTATAAAAACAAGTATGAAAATTATATTCGGTTTTGGGTGAATCTTTCATGCTCGCCACTTTTATTCTGAAAAATAGCGTGAGCAAAAGTTTTTTGTTGCAGTTTATGTGTAGTGAGCAAAATATCTCGACTTTTTATACTCACGACCGGCGCATAAGGGGTATATTCAATTTGTCAAAAATGTTTGCAGACGAAAGATTCGGAGATCCCGCGAAGTATGTATATTCTTAATCAGAATCAAATTTTCAATCGAGTTAAGTATGTCGGTCTGTCCGTTTGTTGTAAACATTTTCCTGATCGTAAAAATGAAGCTATCGAGTCCAAGTCTGCCAGAAACATTGAAAATTCTTGCACGCAGGTTGGCATTGAAAATGGACCAAATCGGTCGTAAGACAAATCTACAGTACCGCATAAACTGAGAACACCGATTTAAAAAAAAAAACATAGATTCTTACTCATTATTGGCAAACCATATTAAATAAGCCAATAAATGTTTGCATGTATATTTTATGGGCGATGCTGTAGTGCCTATACAAAAGGGGGAAAAATTGACCACGCCTACCCAGTATAATAATGTACCATAAATTTAATTTGTTTTTCAATATCTTTATAACGCGCAGAAGCCACCTTCAAAAACTCCATGAAGAATATAAACTCTTGCCCATTTCGAAATTCGGAATCCACCAAAACATGTCCATCTAACCATAGGGTCAACTTAGTAGTATCTACGATAAACAGTCTCTCGTTCGCAAAAACGGAAATATCGCCTACAAAATTTACAAGAGAATTTAAATATGACTCACTGACCGGGTTACTACGACATGCCCACAACGCGCCCATGTCTTTGCGACATACACAGTGTACAGTTCTGCTTTCCGTGTTTGTTGTTGTTACTGATAAAGTTCAGTACACACATTATATAAACTTCTACGTTTGCTCTGAACGTAGAGAAAGTCAGCGGCGCCCACCTAATATTATAGAGCATAGAAGTTTAGGTTTTCTGCTTTTTTTAGTCTTTTCTAGGATAACGGTTTTGGGTAGAAAAAATTCGACCACGAACGAATTTTCTTTTTGTCTGGTTTTGAAAACAGCGACGTTCTTACTTTATATTATGTGCTGCGAGTGAGCCCTTCGTCCGATTTAAGCCGTCTTCAATACCAACCAGCGTGCAAAAGCCTCCAATGCTTTTGCCGAATTTGAAGCCGATTTGAAGCCGTCATTTTTGCGATCAGGAGAACGTTTACCATAGAAATGCCAAACACACAAATACACAGCCAAACGGACATGCTGACCAAGAAACATGCTTTTCACGTCTCTGCGAATATGTTATGCTACCTGTCAGCGGTTATGTGTAATAGACACCGAAGGATGGAAGGAATGCGCCAGTTTTTTGCACAAAGACAACATCCGAAAGCCTAGTTAGAATAAAGGATCCATAAACGTCCACGTCGAGGTAATACGAAAGATTTTCCGGAATGGTTCTGACCAGTGCAGAGCCACTAATATGCAGTTCACTGCCACTGCGTTCGAAAAAAAAATGCTGACCGATAATAGTATTTTGAAGCGTTCTCGATGTTGAAAAAATATTGATTGATATCGTGTAGTGAAGGGTTGCAAAAAAAAGGAAGTAATCGCAACTAAATGTACAGTGGTCTACCTACACATCAGGCTGCAGCGTTGTCACTCGTGTAGATGGCCTGAGGTGATCTACCAAATACTTGCCTACTTTTACTTAATATTACAACAACTTCAGGAAGATTTCGTATTTCCGTGACTGACTAGTTTCTAATATTTGTTGTCGAGAGATTCCCTCAAGATTTTCTTCTTATTACTACTACTACCACTAATTGAAAGGTGAACTATCTTCTTTTTTTCTGCTGAAAATCGGTTAGTCGTGTAAATTCGAAGCAGTAGTAAATTGCAGCCTTAGGCTGATTGAATTTAATTTCGATAAATCGTACCACATAAAGTTTCAAAGAATAGTTCGACTTACATTTAATTGAATAGGTTTTGTAATCGGCAAATTGTTCGCCAGGTCCTACCGCTGATGGTATTGTCGCTAAACAAGTTATCTCCATTCGTCCGCTGATATCAACATGTTGTTCAGTTAATTCTACATTTAGTTGGCTTACGGAGAAAAGACCTTTTTCCTGTTGTAGATCTGTAATGGCCGCGGCTGCAGCAATTACGGCACTACTACCGCTTGCGTGAATCGTAGGACGGCCATAACTGGCTGCGAAAGTTGTCATCGGTCCGGCATTTGCTGGCAAACCTAAATTGTTATTCAAGTTTGGTGGTTCAGGACCAAAGCCGCCACTATTCAAAGTGCTACGTATTATGCCCAAAGCGTTATCGTTAATATGACGATATTTTCTACTCGAAGAATTTCTGAAATGAAATTCAAGAGCAAACGAAAAATGTGTCAAGGTTCGAACATTGCATTAAAAGGAAATATCAGGTCTTCTTCTTCCTGCATTAAATTAAAACATAAATTTGCTAACTTTGAGTTTTATTAGGAATTTTCGGTTTCTCTTTTGTGACACTCAATGCAAAGTTATTGAAATGATTTTCTTTTTTTTTTTCTCTCCTTTCAAGATTAAATCTTCGCATAAATAAGCCACGAAATGGTTGAAAAGGTGCTTCATTTTTGAAAATCGTGCATAATGGATGAATTTTGTCAGTCTTTGCTGTTCTTTACCTCAACGAAACGAGACTAGTTATGATATAAATTAAGAAGAAGCAAAACCATAATGAAATCCTCCCCTAAAAAGACTCGATTTTATTATTATTATTTTTTTTTTTTTTTTAGTATGACAAGAGAAATCTTATATACAGTTGATTATAAACTCATTTGAAAGTGAAGCTGAAGCTATTGATTTTAAAATTTTATTTATTCTATCGACACTTTCCGCGTCGTCCATAGGAAGCTCACAATAAATAGGAAAATTTATCTCAGAGGGTGCTAATGTAATGTTCTTGACTCTTCTCTTCTTATCGTCATCGAATGAAAAAAAAGGACGAAAATTGTACTGTGTCAGCGTGTGAGTGTTGTCGGTGTGATAGGGGGGCACAACGTGTCACTTGTGTGCAATAATTATTTTTTATGACCTCTGCTCGCATAAAACCAACTGTAACAGCATGTAACTGTTTGATAAGTTGAAACATGGTTTGAATATAAATTTTTGGTACCTTAATGGGGAACGAACGAATGCCACTTGAAAATTTTAGCTTAATTCGAGTTCAAAGTTTGTCTTTTTAGAATTTATTAAAATGAAAATTTATTATAAGCGAACGCTTAACAAGAGAATTTTCACAGAAATATTTTAACTTTACGTTCATACACATAACCGAGTTCGCGTATGTATGGATGTCTGTATATACGAGTGTGCGTGTGACTTTGTTTTTTTTTTTTTGTTAAGATTAATAACCTGTAGTGGAAAGTCTTCATTTAATCCGTTCTATTTTAAATACTATTGCTTTAAAAAAGAAGTGTAAGAAGAGGACGTAAATATTGCCTTGGAAAGGGTTAAATTTATTTGTTGCTAACAAAAGCACTTAGTTGATTAATATGAAGTAATGACTTTTGTTAGTGACATTTTTCATTGTGAAAAATTAAAAAACCTTTTGAAAATATAGACAAGCAGCAGAAAGGGTTTGCGGGAGAGACTATACACACGCAACACACGCACACATACATACACATACAACTAACTACATCACGCTGCATTGCAGATAACTAGGAAGACAACAAGAGCTGACTTCCTTGAAGAACTATTACATTGAGGCGACAGTGTTTTGTATTAAGTAAGTAAGAGTTCGCGTCCACGGGCCCATCTTCGCCAAGACTAAAAGAAAGTTTATTCAAAAAACTTAAATGCATACCTTAATCCCTTTACAAAGAGTGAGAAACTAGAGCTGAGAACTAGGATGAAATTTTATTTTAATTTTTTTTTTTGTGTTTTTTTGTTTTTTACAAATTCTGGATACTTTTTACACAGAATATTCTTATTCTTCCTTTTAATACTTATTACTGCTTTCATTTAATAAAACGTTTCATTTTACAACCTAAGTAAACCAAATAAAATCTATTATGAATATCCTAAACGAAGGGGAAGCGCCTATCTCGGCGTAGTTTTTTAAACGCAACTCATGCGATGAGTTGCAAATGTTAATATCATATTATAAGTTCTTTATGAAACTTATAGAACAGAATAAAACGCTATTTACATTGTAATTAAGTGTTAAGTTTCGTATGCAGTGAGCGAACAACAGAACTTAAGAATAATTCTTTAAAGTGAAAGAAAAACATGTGCGCCAGAAAAGAATGTAACTGCGTGGAAAGCGAAGACAATATAAGCTAAACTAAGTTTTGTTGTGTCATAAAGGTTAACGTAAAGTAGTCATACGTGTATTCATATATATATATATATATATATATATATATACATATGTACTCATTGGTTGGCAGACACAGGCAAGTATTAACATAATATTCATATGTGTGTGTGTGTGTGTGTATGAGTGTGTGCGTATGTACGTTTGTATGCATATGAAATAATTTACATTCCTTGAATAAGAGGTGTTGGTGTGTTTACATAATTTTGCGTTTGTTCAGATGTTGTTGTCGTTTCGTTTTTGCGCCGAGTAGGCATTATCATGACTTTTTCTTTCGTTTTGTGTTTTTGTACTCAGATGCCTTTCTTTATAAAATTTTCAAACGCATCCAAGGATAAATGAAGGAATGAGCGAATGACTGACTGATTCACTGACTGACTGACTGAACGAGCATTGACTCAGTATATGTAAATTAGCTTTTCTTTCTCTTACTTCTCGTGCGTATAAGTGTTGTTTTCTTCTAATTTGCAACATTTTTAAACAATTTACATATTTGTGTAAACTTTATTCCTTCCAGACTCCTTAGTCCTTCTTTTCGCCTATGCTTTTTTCTTATTCTTTTTTGTGTTGCTGGCTAAAAAAACCTCTTTCTCGCCTGAATGCACAATAAGATTAAAATTAATAAGAAAAAAAATTGTTGTTTAAAGACTTTTATAATATTCTTTATGCCTGTCTATCCTTCGAGTATAACGAGTATGCATTTGCGTATAAGTGAAAAATTGTTTAAATATTTGCAAAAAAAAAAAAAAAAAAACGAACTGAGACACAAACATACACATGAGCATGAGCAATCACATACACTTACTTAACTGTTGTATACATGTATAGAAGTAAAATAAATATTATTCTTGTTGTTGTGCTTCATTGTTATGCTCTTTCACATGTGCGCTTGTGTATGCCTAAGCATACAATATATATTAGCTTTTGAGTGCATAACCATGTCGCATTGAGTTTTACAATAACTATTATATAAAAAAAGCTACAGTAACAAAAAAAAAAAAACAAAAATGTTGCATGTATCCTTGATAAAGGACCTGCTTATATGCATATGCTATACATTTGTATTTTCCTATGTGCATAAGCACACTTGTTGTGTAGCAATAACGACAATACAATTTTCTATAGATGGCCATGTACATATGTATGTAAGAACACACATGCACACAATTGTTGAATTGTGAGTCGTATATGTATGTTTAGCTGTAAAAAAAAAAAAAAAAAAAAAAAATTAAAAAAATAAAATTAAAAAAAAACAAATAGAAAACTCACACATAACGATCCTGTAGCAGTAGTTCAACAGTTATGTTGCATATAAATTCCAAATAAAAAATGTAAGCAACATTAATAAAAAATAAACAACAAGTGGGAAAGCGATATTTGCCTCAAGGTGATGAGTCTTGCTTGCCTAGTAGCTGAATATTTGTGTAGAAGATATATGAGAGCAATGTTAAATAACTGAAATATACATAAAAAATGGTAAATTTTTAAATTGCAACGGTTTTCTTCTTTTTTTTTTTTTCTTAGAAAATTACGTCCCCTTCTTCTCAAATAGTCATGAACATGATAATTAAAAAAAAAAACTACACTAACTTTAAAGCAAATAATAATGTCTTGGCGACACTGACACTAGGATGACAGACGAAGTCAAAATGCTTTGCATGCCGTAGACGATTTGACCATTCAAACAGTTCGATGGCAACCAGTTGAATGGACGAGCCCTGACCCTTGCTTGTTACAGCCTAGACTTACTTAACGTTATTCTCAACTTTCACCCTAGTGCACTCTTATTCAAGGTTACTGGTATCGACATTCTTCCTGAATGAGCTTCAGCAGGCGTACGAGAATATCAATTCCCCAGATGAAATATAAAAGTTAAAAAAAATTATTTTTAAAGCTTGCTTGATCTGAGCGTGTTCGTGGTTCATTTGTCTTCAGTTTTAAGGAAAGGGAGGTATTTGTGTTGTTTAAAAATTCGTATCAATTGCTTTCGTCAAGCTTTTGTTGCACTTTCGCTTGATTTTTGGGCATAAGCCAAGAACATAAATGCCTCAAAATTTTGCGATTTTGAGATCAAAAAGATGAATAGACAATTGCATCGCATTGAGACTCACACTGAGGAAATGCAAGCGATTTGCTTGTTGCTACAAATGATCCACACCGCTGTTGATCATTGTCACAATATTCAAGTTCTTCGCTATCGAGTAGATAGCATTTAAAAGAAGCTGGCCCCTAATCGAATCACAATGTGTCTTTGAGTCACATTTGATTTGATTATCATATTGCTTTTCCAAAAAATATATGGTAATATTTTATTTTTGTATATATATGGCTTGTTTGGATATATAAATGAATTTAAATTTTTATGAAACCGATAACATTTTATAATAACATTTCGCGTTATACCTATCAGTGTCTTAGAGTCACATCGTGGCATGATTCGTTACAAAATCACATAGTATGATTAGCATTAATAAAGAATTGTTTCTCTCCTAGTTTTCTAAGTAATGTATATTCGTAGCATAAAACTCTCCCAAGTAAAATATTAAAAAACTCGCGATAAAAGTCGCCACCAAAAAAGCGCAGATTAAGCTCTTAGCAGAATCGTCAAACTACGACATTTAGAAAAGGCCAAGCGATTGATGAACGGTTTATGAACATGAGGAAGAACAATTAGGGACATTAAAGTTAATTTTTCGTAATAATGCGGGCAGGTCAATACCATCATGAACTAGCTTAACTAGGGAGGACTTACCTATATACAGGCCTCGTTTAGAAAACACTCTAGCAGATCCTTTATATTGCAGTCTAAACGTTCATTATTTTATACGCTTCGGAAGTATATTTCGACTTTTCCTTTATTTGACATTTGGTATAACGATTTCTATAGTTATTTATTACTCCATTAGTTTTCATGATTAATTTCATTTATAGCCGATTTCATCCATTGCGCTACTTCTAAAGGCATTCATAAAGTTTTCAAATATTTTATTGTT